TCTGAGTGTGGTGTGCAGTGTTTTCACATCATAGAAATTGTTTTAATGCAAGGTTTTATTGCTAATTATTTGCAGAGAAGACTTGTGGAATTAGTGGTGGTTTGTAGAGCAATCTTTCCCTGGCACCCACAACTTTTTTATTGTTTCTCAGCCTGTTTCAAGCACAGATGAAATTCATCGTTTCTGGATGGGTCAGAGGGTGGGGAGAGATGTGAAAAGAAGAGAAAATAGCTTGAAACTACCATTGTGGAGAAAATGAAACCAGATGCATGGAACGGGAAAGATGCTGGTGGGAACAACATTGAAATAAAGCACATTTTTCCCTGGGAGATGACAGCCTTGTGCAATCCCTCAAGGCTTCCTTCCCACAGACATCTCTCCCCTGCGGAAAAGATTCTCAGGAGGAGGCGCAACCTAACCTCTGGGAAGAGGCGTCAACAGGGAATGTGTCACCATCGCCAGTGAAATATTTCACTTCAAACCTGCATTGTCCTGTGTCCCCCCCCCCACCTGATTTTTCAGGGAGGAAAAGAGGGGGGTAAAACACCCCAGCGGCTCCTCAACAAGAACTGAGGAGAGAAGCACCCTCAAGCTGGAAAACAGAAAAGAAAAGATTTTGTCTAATCCTGTTTATTTGGAGAGGCTTGGCCAGTGCTTTCCAGCAGGGTGATTCCAGTCTGCTCTGAACTGACACAGTGACATGATGACTGGGCTTTGAAGATAGAGTAGCAGTGTTTATGTGGAGAGCAGTCGTGGTGGAGAGGGAAAGGAGGGGGGCAGGAGGCGTTGGGAGGGAGATCGGGAAACTGTAACTCATTGTGGATGGGCTGGCCTGGCCTGGGTGGCAAGCTCTTAAAGCTCAGAACATTCATCAACCTGCCTAGCGGGCCGACATGCTGGAGCCACAAGTTGCTCTCTCCCTCTCCGACTGTGTCAAGCGTGATCTAGTCCAACTGTGCGGAGACAGCACAGCCCCGGCCAGACAAGCCCTGGTCAGTGCAAATAATCACAGCTCTGACTCCTTTCTCTGTTACTCAGCAAAGCCTGGCCACCGAACACAGCGTTCTCACAGGAAGTTTACGTCAATTCTCTTCCACACATACACACACTCACACACACGCACAGAGTCCGATTCATCTCAAACTCCATTTGAATCGCTCAAGTTACACCCAGGGCTCCATTTGGCCTTCTGCCTTCACTTTTAGACATTCTTCACCAATTAAAGCCTCATTTCTTTCAAAGCTTATATCCCTAGCGCAAGTCTCCTAATGTCTATAGCATTGCTTCTGGCTTATCACCAAGGGTACTTTTGCCATCCTTTTTACAGGAGATGGCTAAGGAACTGCAGCAGCCTTATACTGACCTCAAGGAGAGCAGTTTTTCCCTCATATCTACCACTCGTTTCTTCGCAATTAGGTTATAAATATGCAAAAGTAACAGACACAACTCCCCCCCCCCACACACACACACAAACACAAAAAACAGTAAGATGTTGAGAGCCATGCAGGAATCCAATATCTCTGCTGGAATTTTATTCTAAGAAGTCCAGTCTCGCTGTGTAATGTGAACAGATTTACATATTTGGAGATCTGTCACATTCTATTCTGGAAGCTCATGACAGGAAGCAGCAATATGACGTTTTGGGTTTTGTTTGAGATCAGTGGGGCTTACTTTCAGGTACATGTGCATAGGACTGTAGACTTACACATTATTATTTCAAAGTAAAATGTGTCTGCAAATGACAGGCAGAATGTGACAAGGACAAGAAGTCTTAAAATAAAGTTATTTGGTCCATATTGCAGAGGAGAATCAGACAACTTTTTCCCAATTACTGCCATGTTCTGTAACCCGCGGAGAACCCATGGCCCTCCAAGATGTCAACATCCAACTTCTGTTAACCTCAGAAAGTGTGGCCAATGGTCAGAGATGATGGGAGTTATAGTTCAGCAACATCTGGCATCAGGTGGCACTGTGGGTTAAACCACATAGCCTAGGGCTTGCCAATCAGAAGGTTGGCAGTTCGAATCCCCACAACAGTGTGAGCCCCCGTTGCTTGGTCCCTGCTCCTGCCAACCTAGCAGTTCGAAAGCACGTCAAAGTGCAAGTAGATAAATAGGTACTGCTCTGGCGGGAAGGTAAACGGCGTTTCCGTGCGCTGCTCTGGTTCGCCAGAAGCGGCTTAGTCATGCTGGCCACATGACCCGAAAGCTGTACGCCAGCTCCCTCGGCCAATAAAGCAAGATGAGAGCCGCAACCCCAGAGTCATCCGCGACTGGACCTAATGGTCAAGGGTTCCTTTACCTTTAACATCTGGCATCCCACTCCTGCTGTAAACAGGCACAAGTTAGCAAGTATAATAATAACCCATATATTCTAACTTCTTGAATAATTGGGGGTGGTCAAATTAGCCAGCCTTAAAATAAAATCCCTTATTAATGGGATTTTCAAGGTGGTTCATATACTGTAACCATTTGCACTGTGATGGTTACTTATAATCCCACCATACAGTGAATGCAACCACATGGACAACCAGAACTCGGGGGCATCTGGCCACACAGTGAGACAAATGTTATCAAAGTTCAGCAACATGCCATGAATGTGCATGAAGCTACTGCGGGTCTCTGATCAGCTACTATGGCCCAAAGGGGATTAGGCTTGCAGCAAACATGGATGCTTATCAAATATATGGTCAATATATAAATGTCCATTTAACTGACTATTCAAACACCTAATAAATAACAACACAGAGATATTGGAGTGTTTTCTTTAGCATATTGCCTATCCTCTTATCAGTACTTCTAGCAAAGATGCCTAGGACACACTGGGGAGCAGCAAAAGGGGGAATTAAGGTTCTGCTGAATCACAGTATACATACAACAAAAGCCATGCCAGCAACTGATGTTTTGCCACTGATACCCAACAGGCATTCTAACTTGTATGAATTGATTTGGCATTAGTGAAAAGTGCAGGTGCTAAACACCTCTGGCATTTAGGAGCAAAGAACTTACTTGTCCTAACATGGAAAATTTACATATTCTAGAGATGGTAAAATATCTCAGGGCAATTAGGTCATGGCATTACTATACATGGAACTACAACTTCCATCAGTCCCAGCAAGCATGGTCAAAGGCCAGAGGTGATGGAACCTGTAGTTTAGCAACTTCTGAAGAGCCACACCTGCTATTTGAAGTGGGCATCTAAAAGCTGGTTTTAAGAACTGACATCCTATCACTTTTGTTATGGGGTCCTGGAAGTGTTGTAAGGGTCACATTAATTGGTGAAGTCCTATTCATTTAAAAATTGTACTGTCGTGTGTTATGTCAGTTCACAGAATGGTCAGTCCCAGGGCAGTGTTCTACCATAGAGACAGCAACATGGCACTTTGAGACTGCACCACAGATTATGCCCAAGCAACATGAATTTTAGTTTTCAGAAAGAAGTGCCCACGCTGCATGGCAAGATGATTAAAAAATAAATAAAATTCTCCAGCCACAATCCAGGAGCCATGTTTACGCCCAGAAAAATCAACAGGCTTAATTGCTTCCAGCTTTACATGAGATGCTAACTTCTGACTTTTCCCATTAGCTTTCAGTGCTATATAGAGGGATTACTGTACATTTAAAAAAACAAAAAAAAACAAAACTGTCTGAGTGCCCCAATCTACTGCAGCTGGGATTGCAACCTTTGGCATGTCATCAGGTTTGTGAATGGTAACCCAAAAGGTATGACTGTGTCATTAAATATATAGGTGTGTAGTATGTTTGGGTTATTCTTTTGTGTTTTAATTTATTTGTATTGCAGTGAGAAATTCTTTGAGGGCACAAAAAAGGGCTGGATTTTGCTTTGCCAGTAGTTTGCCCATGAGTAAAAAGGAGTGTTCTTAAGGCCAGTGTTTGCGTGTACTTATTTGTATGTGTATGAATTTGCAAAATCAAAGCCTGGTCTTACAATGCAGCCTGTTGTCTTCAGGTTAGGCTTGTTAAATGATGACAGAGAAGTCACACACCGAAAGAGTGACACCACCCTTAGAACTATTCCCAAGGGAAAAAAAGAAATTGGTGCTGCACTAGACTTAAGGTGACCTTTTCTTAAGTGATAATATATGTGCACAACGCTAGCAGGTTGCATCACGATGCTAAACCTTGTGATCTAATTATTCAACCCTAATATAAAGGGCAGGGCTTCATGGGAATGATACATTCAGAGCAATACCAAGAACTCTGTTTCACAATATCAAGGGGGAAATAGTGTCAGGTGATCCCTTAACATGGGAAAGTTCTATTAATAAAGGGTTTGGTTCCCTAGACTTCTTGCAAAATGAAAGCTGGACTACATTAACAATATAAAATAATTACCTCTGTCCTCGAAATTAACTTTATTGTACTTTATGTTTATTTTTTATGTCTGTTCATTTTAATTTTTGTGTTTGTTTATTTTAACTTTTTGCATGACTCAGGGAGCAGTGATTTGATGACAACGTCTAAAATCAGGGTATAAAACAGGTATGGGAAGTGTTTGGCCTTCCTGTTGTAGGGGCCCATATAGTCCTTCCTTCTTAAACACCAATCAGCTCCTATTTGTATCACACAATGTGGTACAAAATATGTTGATCAGTTCTGATTTGTACTATCCATACATATATTTGCTGACTGATGAAGACCAGCTTGGGGGGAGGGGGATGCGTAAAGTACATTTCCTAACAACTTAAATCTGTGATAGTGCAGCTCCTGAATAAATCAGTTATTGACACCAATGTCATAGCCAGCTGATTAAGAGATGTAAAATTGGAGCTCATCAGGTCACCACTCCAGTGGCACCTAAATCAAAATCAGGTCCTGAATACACCTTTGGTCTTAGAACTTACGTGATGCCACTCATGACCATAGTCCTCACCCAGTGCTATGTGTTTGGATGGAGACATTTTCCTCTGTTAATTTTAATTCAATCTTTCAGCAGCATTTAACCCCATTGTCCATGAAATGTCACTTTAAACACTGCAGGACCAGCAGGTGTCAACTGGATGACTCACTGATGGATTGACTTTTACCTAGCAGGATGTCTGAGAGCAGAGCAATTGGCCTTAGACTCAGCGCTGCCCTTGGGAAAGAGTAAAAAGGTAAATTATAGGTTTCTTATATCAGTATGTTGCCCACATAGTGCTTGATGGCAATGATTATGGAATTAGAAATAAAAGATTGGAATGTACACTGAGCACATATGGACAGTGGTGCAGAAAGGTAATTTTAGACCCTGAACTTAATGGTCTAATGGGGAGGGGGAGCTTTAGATAGCCACATATTTTACTTCATTTGGGATGCACATAATTAACCTTTCTCTTCTCTCTCCTCCTCAATTCCATGTTTTACAACTCCTTCTACATCCCTGACCTGTTAGAGCAATAACAGAAAACAGTGTGCAAGCCCTGATTTTTGTTTTAATGCATGCCCAGGTTTGCATTTTAAATTAACTTAAGGCATAGTACCATAATGATACCAAAAAATAGGATTTGCTTCTGCTACCCTGAGATCCTGTTTACTTGTAAATATAAAAAAAAAATCCTTCTAGTAGCACCTTAAAGACCCACTAAGTTAGTTCTTGGTATGAGCTTTCGTGTGCATGCAAGAGATACACTGAAGAGCCACTTCTAATTGGAAAACTATTACCAGAAGGGTTAAATGGTGATGGAGATACTGTATGAGCTGTGACGATCTTAACGCTCATTATACAAAGAAGGGGGAAAAATTTTTCAAGAATTAATTCTTTGTTATCTTCAGTTTGTTTGGTAGGTCTCACAGCTTCTTCCGTCTATTCGCTTGTAGTAAACCCCTTATCAAGCACTAAGAGACTTTGCAAGACAGCCAGGATCTTCTTGCTCCTTCGAGTCTGTTTACTTGTAAATATAAAAAAAAAAACATCCTTCTAGTGGCCTTATAAGACACACTAGTTAGTTCTTGGTATGATCTTTCGGTTCAGAAATAGGACTTGAAAGAAGAAGGTGCATTGCAAACTCATTACCACAACTTAAAACCATGGAGGACCTGGTCTGAACAAAGACATTGGATTCTTATCTCATTATACATGACAAAGCCATTTTTCACCTTCTTACCCCTTGCTTTTTCCTGTATTACCTATTGCAGTCATTAAGAGTCGTCAACAGGCTCATCACAGCTATCTGCCAATCACCCATTCCCACCACCCTTCTGAGTAATACCCCTCCCCATCTTCTCACTATATAGAAGGATCTGGCAACTTCTGTTTCAGTGTATCTGAAGAAGTGTGCATGCACACGAAAGCTCATACCAAGAACTAACTTAGTTGGTCTTTAAGGTGCTACTAGAAGGAATTTTTTTTGTTTTGACTATGTCAGACCAACACGGCTACCTATCTGTAACTTGTAAATATGTTTGTCATGTTTATTATGGCAAACAGCCAGCATAATTTACTTGGAAATAAGCCCCATTTTGTTGCAGAAAAGGATAATAAAAACAATAAAACGAGGATCTGTAAGCATGCACATGCCTTGCTGGCTACCCATCTTCCCCAAGTATAAAATGCTTCTTATTTTCAAAATGTCTGCTACATTGACCAGCATTGGCCTCTGAGGGTTCCAGCATGTGCTTGGCAGCCCAGGGCTGATGCCAGATGTGCTTTCCACTGCCCCCATTGTCTGCCATTCTCTGAGTGATCACTGGGGGGCTAGGCTGTGGTGCCCGGGACTTAGGTCCCAACATCCAGGCATAGCTGAATCACTGCATACAAAAGGTTCACACACTCATAAGAATGAAAATCTACCACGGGCTATTAGTATGTTTCTAAATAGCATGTGCCTCTGGAGTCGGTATCACTGGCAATGTCTCTATGCCCCACCAGGGGCCCACTGCCAGTCTCTTGAGCTCCCTGGCCCTGCTTCTCCTCCTCTTCCACCACATTCCCGTCACTGCCTGCTCTGAGTAAACCACAAGACAAGAGGCTTTCTTGGTTTGGCTTGCCCTTTTCCCTTGGACCAGGCCTAGAGGAATGGGGCAAGCAAATGGGTAGTGGTGGCAACAGCAGCGAGGAGGCCTCTGAAGACATCTTGCCAAAGGGCCCAACCCTACTGGACCTGGCACACTTTCAACCTACCAGCTCACAATTTCCAAATTTCCCTTTTTTAAATAAAGTAATTGCTCTGATTTACCAGCCAGGGAAATCTGTCTCTTCCTCCTTTCTGCCCCCGCCCCCTGCAACTCCACCCTAGTTCCTCATACTCCCAAATCCATTTCCAACTCTTTTCAAAGAGAGAAGGGGAGAATGCACATGTTTGCATGAGTTCTTGAGGAAGAACAATGCTCATGTATGTTTTTTGGCACGGGTCGCTTGGCAATTTAAAATTGGCAACATGGCCCTAGAGGTTCCCCACCCTTGCAGCAATACCTAATAGGAACCAATAGCATAGCAGACGGGGAGTTAGAGAGTCCAAGCATGAAAAAAAATAATGCATACAAGATGTTCAACACTTTCCCACATAATAAACGTGGGAATCCCATAGAATTTGTCCCAGGACTTGAGGGATTTTTTTTAATGAATCATGTTTGCTACATCCCCAATTTCACCAACCCACTCCAACTGCAAGACGCTAAGTCTAAGGAGCCAAAGCATTTCAGCAGACACCTCTAAGTTGTCCACAAGCAGCAGAATACAGTGGAACAGAGAGAAGCAAAGAGGCTAACACATTTCTCAAATGGAAAAGCTACATTCACAAAGTGCTATCATGCAGGGAAGACTAGAATGGTTAGGTTAGCTCAGATATAGCTGAACAACAACTTCCATCATCCCTGCCCATTGCTCATGCCGTCTAGGGCTGATGGGAGTTGTGGTGCATTTGAATTGCTTTTGAACTGTTTTAAATGTATCTGCTATTTTTTTAATGTTCTAAATTGTGTTTATTGTATACCACCTTGAATCAGTTGGGTAGAAGGTGATTAATAAATTAATGATACTAATAAAAATAATAACATCTGGGGAGTCAAAGGGTCCCCACTCCTGGGTTAGCCCTAAGTCAGACTCTCATGGAAGAAGATCTGTTTTTATTGAGAGAGTTGAGTACGTTAGAGTAACAGGAAAAGTTGGGGAATAAATGTAAATGAAGGAGGAGGAGGAGGAGGAGGAGGAGGAGGAGAAGGATATTAACTCAGAAGACGTCTTACTGAATGTACTTGAATTTACCATTTTGTAAGCGTGCTCAGCACTGCAGTCTTTTATTATGCCTGATGTTAATATTTTCACTCCATTTCCCCTTCCAAAAAAAAAAAATAAAATCTGTCATGTTAGTTAAAATATATTTATATAGTGTGGTTTTTTTGGGGGGGGGGGTTGAGCAAGCATTTCAAGAAGCTTCAAAATAAGATTATCATCTAGCTTTGCAGACACAGCAATTTACCAACTGCCTGACAAGTGTTTTCATATGAAGAAATAATAAATCAGAGCATTGTCTGTTTTGGGAGGGTAATGGTTTTAGTTTGGTGACCCAAACAATCATGGTTTCCTGATTTATGTCAGCAGGGCTAAGGACTAACATGAAGTGTGTCTAAATTAATCCAGTTGTGCTGTATTGATCCTTTTAATCCCCTTTTTAAGATGATAGTTATTTTGAAACGATTGCATTTGATGCTCCATTCTGTTGTTCCCATTGCTAAGACTTCCAGATGCCCCCTTTTGAAGAAGGTTCCTTCATTTCAGAATTTGCCTTATCAGGTGCAGCTACAGTGGTACCTTGGGTTAAGAACTTAATTCGTTTTTGAGGTCCGTTCTTAACCTGAAACTTTTCTTAACCTGAAGTACCACTTTAGTTAATGGGGCCTCCTGCTGCTGATGCACAATTTCTGTTCTCATCCTGAAGCAAAGTTCTTAACCTGAGGTACTATTTCTGGGTCAGCAGAGTCTGTAACCTGAAGTGTATGTAACCCGAGGTACCACTGTAGATTAATTTGGTAGCTTTTAAGGTGCCACAAGATTCTGTGAGGCTTTTACAAAATGTTTAAAGTCATAAAATGTTAAGGCATTTACTGGTGTGGGGAACATAGTTTTCCATGCTCTATGAATTGTAGAGCTGGAAGGGACCCTAAGAGTCATCCAGTCCAACCCCTTGCAATGCAATTAAATTGGAAGCAGCTAGGGTTAGGAGAAGCTTACACCAGGTTCTCTTTTCAGTGCTAAATCATCTTAAGAGCTCCCTTATGTTTTGTTTCATGAACTTTCTTGGAAAGAACTCAGAAAATCCCAAGAGTTGGGGTTTTTTTTCAGGATTCTCCCAAAAAGCAATTAAAAAAACTAATTACAAGCCAAGCCTAGAAGAATGGAGGAAGGTGGTCCATAACTAGCTTTGCTGAAAACCTTCAGTTTGTGTTAGGTTGCTTTCAACAGCATGTTCTTAAGGGTCAGGTGGGGACAGCCTATTGTACTCAGGTCCTGCCTGTGGACTTCCCTTAGGTATCTGGTTGGCTACTGTGAGAACAGGATGCTGGACTAGGTTGGCATTTGGGATGATTCAGCAAGACTTTCCTTATATTTTTATGACACAAACAGCATGCATGCTGAAGCTAAGGAGTCTGGGTCTGGTCAGTGCCTTGATATGAGACTGGTTGTGTGTTGCCGTTATCTCCATAATGGAATAAAGGTGAGATATAACTTTAATAAATCAAAGCTCATTGTTCAGCAGCAGAGTGGCTGTGGGATCACTAATTGCAGTACTTCATTTTCTTTAAATACTTCAAAACACACTATTCAGATATGTTTTTAATGTCTGAAGCTGTATTGTTTTTAATATTCAGTTGGAAGCCACCCAGAGTGGCTGGGGAAACCCAGCCAGATGGGCGGGGTATAAATAATAAATTTATTATTGTTGTTGTTGTTGTTGTTGTTGTTGTTGTTTTGTTGTTCAAATAAGTTTTCTTATGATATGTATGAATTTGATATTAATTCCAGGCAGGATTAAGTGGCACTGGCAATCAGCTCTTTTCTTTATGGAATGTGCAGGCATGTTTGTTTCCTGAGAGAAAAGTTGCCACTTACATCTTTCATGAACAATCCAAACAGATATATCTTTTCAATGTCCTAAAAATATACTAAAATGCTATTTTTTCCCCATACTGCATGTCTTATTTTCCGTTTGCTTGTTCTCTTCATGTGAATTGTGTGTTCCAACAGAGTATTCATCACCTGATGGGAATGCCACAGATTGCTGCAATCTGCTGAGATATATATTTCTGAATCACCTCACATACTAGCCAGAAATTCATTATGTCAATGATTTATTGTCTCTGGTGAACTTCTCATTGCTGCTGAGAACTTAAACTAGTTCAGCTGCTCTGGTTGATGAGGTACCAAAGCAGATGACAAGCCCACAACAATGTCTGGAAACCCAAGCTGGGAAAAGATGCACCTAGAGTGAATTGAGAAATACTGTCTTAAGGATAGGAGAGAATCTGAGTCTACATCTGAGCCCTAGTGCATGACCTATAGTGGTTTTCAGGGGCCAGAACTTGAGATCTTCCTTCAATTGTCTCTGAGACCTCATTCAGGTGAACAGCAAATGGTGCCTTCATACCTCCCCCTTTGCTACACACCTGTATCTGCAAGTATATCTGCAGGGGTGGAAGCATCCTACCTGTGGCCTGCTTAGATTTAGCATGGTCCCAATTTGGCCCATGGGGCCATTTCCCCCCCAAACCTATGCCCACATGTGATGTCAGATGTGGAGCAGGTAAGGACATGGCTCAAAAGGAAGAATCGGGAGCTTAAAGTGAGCCCCTGATTGTTCCACTGGGACCTGCTGCATTAAGGAATTCCCCTTCAAGAACTCCCTAGTGCAGCTGAAGAGGCACAGGGCTCTGCAAGTGCCAGTCATCGGCTGATCATGGTAGCACTTGGCAAAAGCATCAGGCAAATGCCAGTTTACACTGTCCTTTGACTTCACTCCCAAAGGCACACTCCTCCATTGTCTCCCAAGAAAGAGGGATGCCAACCAAACCAACCAATATATTATACTGCCATGTGCCATTGCAAACATTTATAATGCCTAGACTGGGGACACCACCTTTTTGGGGCTCATGGGCACATCTGCAAACCAGAGAAACTGCTGGGGGAACCACACCACACTGCAACCAAGCACACACCTGAGCATACTCTGTTTGCTACAACAGAATGCTTCCTTGAAGCCAGAGAAGGCCTTTGTGGGCAAATGTGTGCCCATGGGTACCATGTTGGCAGTCACTGGCCTAGGCTAACAAATTTCACCAAATGCTTATCAAGTACTTTGGTTTTCAGAGCACTGGTGTTATTATTTCTATTAAGCGAATGACACACTAAAAAGGTAGAAACACCCACCTCCATTTTTGAATGGGAAGAGAACACTGGCTTTTAAATCATTCCCAGGACTGACTCTATGACATATTTCTAAATGGTTTGCCTTTCAAAGCATCTAGTAAATTTTTCAACCTAAGTACTTTTTGGCATGTTAATCAAAAACAGATCTTTCCATCAAACACAGTCATCCTGACTGCAAAGGTCCCATCTTTCTTCTCTTTGCACATTTTTTCATACAGATTTGTTTTTCCTTTTTAAGGTTTAACTTTAAAATCTTATAGAAACCTTCAAAGGTTTGCAACATGGAAGTAACACTAAGAATAAGTTTTTTTCTATTATCTCCACACACCCCCTTAGTGCTTCAGGTGCTTCATATCTATTATCTCCATTATCCTACAAAAACTGCTAAGTAGGCTGATATTGTTATCTACATTTCACAGATGGCCGTCAGAGGCAGAGAGAAGACCCTTGCCGAAAGCCACCCAGTGGGTTCATGACTGAATCTGGATCCAGTTCATTGCTCAGGTTCTTAACCACTAGGCTCTAACAGTGTTTCAGTCTGTTAGTCCTCAAAATAACAGCATAATAAAAATCTACATAAATACGGTGGGTTTGATATTTCCTAAATGAGGCAAAAATGGAATTGACTTCTTACTCTTTATGAGTCTGAATTATAAGAACTTATTATCAGCAAAACATGCTGCTATGATTTCATCATTAAGTTTGTTCTGTCATCATATATTTGTGCAAAAAGTTCTTCTATGACAACAAACCCACTTCCATGAAATGTTCAGGTTTGCTGCTTGAATGTAACATCACAGTTTATTTCTCTATGGCCAAAATTAGCGGTATAGCGACTCAACACAAAATTAACCCTGGGATGGTTCTTCATATTCATTAGCTGCTGCTTCTGCCCTAGCTTTACCGGAGACGGAGAGAAGCGGATGTAATCTATTTTATTTCTTGCAAAACCCAGAACCATCATCCATAGTACCTGATCTCCATCTCTGCCAGTAAACCACTGGGAAACCCAGTTCAATACAGCATCACAGTCATTTCAGCTTCTGATTCAGTTCCTGGTCTCGCTCTGATAGGAACTTTAAACTTCCTAAGCTGGTCCCCCTCACATAAACACACACACCGAATCCATCACATATGGTGCCTGCTTTCTTTCTATTACTATCTCCCTTTTTTGTTATTTCAGTGCACCGTAATTCTATTGGTGGTGAAAAGCTGCACTAATGCTTGGCTTGCAGAGTCTCATCAGAATACCTTTGTTTGTGTCAAAGGTATCTGAAGTCTATCTCCCTAACATATGAAAAAGGAAAAGTATTTGCAGCCCAGTTGTTAAAATATACCACCACACTATGTTTATGCATTCAGACTATATAACAGAACAGAACTAAGCTTCATTGTACCCAGATCAGCTTCAATGCTGGTAACTAAGCAGAGAATAAGCCTTACACAGAAAAACTAAGAACAAGCTACAAAACACCAGGACCCAGATGCAGATACTCTGAATTGTGTTTATCAGCTCTTTGGCAGGAAGGAAAGAGCAGGGAGACTAATCCTGCTCCCTGATCCAAACAGCAATTGCAATTTAAATCAGATTAGGTGTGCATTGCCTGGGGCTGGTCAATGTGGCTCAGAAATCATCTGTGCACTTGCAATAGCCCATTCAGCTAGGGATAGAAGCGCAGAAGCAAGCTCCCACAATCATATGACAGTAGCTGGATCAGATCAAATGTGGTGAGCCTGCTTCTCTTGACGTTCAAGAGGGGTGAGGAACCTCTCATCCATGGGCCAAATATGCCCTGTCCCAAGGTTTAAATTTGGCCCATGAGGCTGTTTTCCCCAAACCACACTCACCTGCCCCACATCTGACATCATATGCAATGTCAGGTGTGAGGCAGGTAAAGACGCAGCTGCCAATGCACAATCAAGAGCCTTAAAGTGCACTCCCTGATTGGCAAGGGAAAGCAGGCTTTCGGTCTTCTGCCAGTCAGCTGCTGGCCGGCAGAGCCAAATCCTGCTGGATCATCTTTGCTAGAGAGATCCCCATAGGAACTCACACACCCAATGCCTGCAGGAAGCAGGCCTGTTCTCTACCAAACATGCCAGTTGTGCAGGACATGAAGCTATGGATGTAAAATTGCAAATCTAAGGCTACCTTCACATCATACATTTAAAGCACCATGATACCACTTTAAACAGTCATGGCATTCTCAAGAGTAGTTTAACAATCAATTCCTCTGCCCAGGGAACTCTGGAAACTGTAGCTCTGCAAAAGGAATAGCAGTCCCCTAACAACTTCCAGTACCCTTAACAAACTACAGCTCCCAGAAATCTTTGAAGGAAGCCATGTCCATTATGGTATCATAGTGCTTTAAATGCTGTTTGTCTTAAATGTATGAATTTTTGCTTTACTTGTTTTAATTTTGGTAGACTGCCTTGAATTTATTAGTAAAATGCGGAATGTAAATGTTTGAAACAGATAAATAAATATGTTTCCTAGTGGCGGGTGCCTAGCTTCAGCCATGTAATCCATTATTTAGGAAGTCACTTCTTGTTATCCAATGTTCAAATATGCCAATTTGGATCAGTACTGTGGAGACACGATGTCTCTAAAACAGGCCACATATTTAGTCATAAATATGTGTTTCTATGACCCATTTAAAGCATCTATGTTATTCTGTTGCCTAAGATGTGGTTTAGTCAATTTCAGATGGACTTCTGAAATGCTTAAGTTCATGCTTAAGTGCTCTGCACAAGGATGAAAGTCTGGAGCAGTTAGCAGAAGCCCAGGTAAAGCATCATGTTTCAATATACTTCCGTTTTTAACCTGAATGTTGATTCTAGGCAATATAGTTTTTATACTGGAATTACAGGCATGGGAAATGTCCAAATGGATTCAATTATCACTAGCAAAAACAGTGTTAGAGACAGCATGAAAGCCAGACCAAACTGCTTCCAATATACAAGCTGAAAAGAAAGAATGTATCTACAGCCTCAGCTCACCCAAGAGAATTACACCTTGTGGCAACAACAGTGACAATTACACAGTGACAATAAAATCTGAGGATCCCTGCTGTTACAGACACACTAGTGTCCTCTGAAAATGTGAAGTTATTTTCTCTGCACCATCGAAGGCCTGTGGTGGGTCGGCTCCACTAATCAGTTGGAGATTTTGTTTAGAAGTCTTCTTCATGCTGTTTATGCCGCTAACAGACCCAGTTCACCACAAACCTAACACTGCCACCTTTTCTTGTTTACATGCCTCCTTTCCAGGACATTACTGCCCTCTTCTACTAATCTAGCTCAGCGTGTGAGAAAACACTTTCTTTTTTATGTGAAGTTTGTTAATTATCTTTCTGGAAGCCATTCACTCAAATGCCACCTGAAGAGACCTCTTGTTGTCTGTGTTTAATTAATACTCACATTCCTGTATGCAGAGAGACTTCATCAAAACACAACTCTCTTTTTCACAGGGCAGGAGCATCTTGAGAAGAGAAAGCGATTTCAGCAGCAGCAGCTAATCTTTGGGATGTAAATAATTTCTGAATGTAAGATAATGCATATGCTAGAGGGACCTCTGTTAGATGCAGATCACTTGCCCTTTCATGGAAGCTAATGTTTTTCTACTATGAGGGAGCATTTATACTTCGCATGAAAAATATGCAGCCCACTCATTTGTAAAATAAGTGTGAGCTCAAGCCATGCATGTGTGATTTACGGAGTATTGCTTGACCTGGAAAAGCTCTTCTTCAGTGTACACTTTATGTAAGGTTCTGTTAGAAGGATTAGATATAAAGAATAATTGTCTGGTTTTAGACCAGGCAACCCCAAGATTCCACCTGTAATATGATCCTTTGCTACAAGAAAACCAGCCTAACCATTCATCCTTTCCTTCTTAATGTGAGTAGCCAAATTCTTTTTTGGTATTCTCGTAAAATGGCTGGACAAATAAGGATTATGAAGTTCTGGCCAAAGACAGGTACACTATACCCAAGAATAGTATTGGTAGGTTGCCATTATGCATAAAGAAGGTGACAGAAGTGATTGCCAAGTGCTCTCACTCCCTTTTCAGATTTTGAGGGTCAAGTACCATTCATGTGTTTTAGTATTTTGGAGGTTGGTCCAATGTTAACGGAAGCAAATATCTGCAGCTTTTGAGTTGTTCAGAATCTAACTTGCAATAAATAAATGGGAAGGGGGAAAGAAAGCAATTCCCAACCTAGTGTTAACATAAAATATGATGTAAGGAGGGAACTGCGGCCCAAGATAGGAAAAGAAGCTATAAGGGAACACTTAGCTGCTTTAAACGAATTCCAATCTCCAGGGCTTGATCAGCTGTGCCCAAGGGTACTAAAGGAGCTTGCAGATGTAATCTCAGAGTCTCTGACTATAATCTTTGAGAATTCTTGGAGAACAGGTGAGGTTCCTAAAGATTGGAGGTGGGCAGGTTTCCGCCCTCCCTCCCCTATAGGTGGGCGGGGTTTGCAGCACCGAGTGGGGGTTCACCTGGACGGGTGCCTCCCACTTGCTTGGGTTGGCCTTTGACCCGCCCTTGGCCAGGGAGGACAATGGACGGCCAGCCAGGGGAGGGGCTAAGGCCAAAGAAAAGAGGCTGACTCTTTCAACCAAGCCTCACTTGGTTTTCTTCCTTCCAGGATCATCTTCCAGGTTGCAGGACGTGTTCCGGTGAGCAACCAGGTTGAGGTAAGTCTTTTGTGTTGTTTACAGGCTGCTTGCCAGCCTTCTTTGATTGTTTTTCAGTGGTTGTGGTGCTGGGGAGGAGGCATAAGGCCCCTCCGCGTCTTCCACTCACCAGGGGGCGCCTCGCCGGGCCCGAGAGGGTGGCGGGCGTCCCGGCAGTAGGCCACATGGCAGCCTTTTATTTCGGTGGTGGCGCTGGGGAGGGGGTGCAAGGCTTGTAGATGTAATCTCAGAGTCTCTGACTGTAATCTTTGAGAATTCTTGGAGAACAGATGAGGTTCCTAAAGATTGGAGGTGGGCAAATATCCCTATCTTCAAAGGGGGGCGGAGAGAAGACCAAGGTAACTACCAACTCATGAGCTTGACATCAATACCAGCAAAAGTCTTAGAACAAATCATTAAGCAGTCAATCTCTGAGCACTTAGAAAAGGATGCTGTGATTACTAAGACCCAGCATGGGTTTCTCAAAAATAAGTCATGCCAGACAAATCAGGGGAATGCTCTGGATTTGTAGCTGGTTGACTGACTGAACCCAGAGTTCTCATTGATGGTCCCTCGTCATCCTGGTCAAAAGTTACAAGTGGGGTGCCACAGGGTTCTGTCCTGGGCCTGTTATTGTTCAATGTCTTTATAAATGACTTGGATGAAGGAATTGAAGGGATGCTCATCAAATTTTCCCTTGACACTGAACTGAGATTCTTATAGTGGCTCCTAACCCATTTCCAAGCACAATTTCAACCTAGGGAGCACTAAACTAGGGGGTGGTGAACTTTTGGTCCTCAAGATAATGCTGGATCCCCGCTACCATCATCTCTGACCATTGGACATACTCATTAGGGCAGATGGGAGTTGGAATCCAACAAAACCTGGGGAGCCACAGGTTAGCTACCCTTGCCCTAACACACTGTCTTTTCCCACAAGAACTTGCCCAAATACTAACATCAACCCCTGATGCCCTGCCCTGAATCCCCCATCACCTGAAGCTAGGGGGATGGTAACACTTTTAGAATTATATAAATAATGTAAATGAATGAATAAGTAATGAAATCACATATTTTCTTTGTATTATTTTTATCACCACCACCATCATGACATCACTATTCTTTCTTTCTGCTGGGAGTGCATAGAATTGTGATTACACTTTGCTGGTGTGGTTATGGCACAGCTGCTGGTGGTGGTGTAGTGGGAGCATATGATTGAGCTGCCTGTGACTTGGATCAGGGCCACTGTCTAAGTGCTTTGCACAAGTCTCAGTACTCATTCTCCAAGGCATAACATCAAGCTAGCTTTACAATTAATGTAAAGTGGGTTTGGGGGTGTTTTTTTTAAAATAAAAATAACAAAGCATGAATCTCCCAAAGAAACTATAACATACATTACATTGTTGGTTTGATGTATCACTTGTGTTTTAAAGGATAAATCTATGTCTGAATACTTTACTTAAAATAATAAGCTAGAACAAAAGACAAAGTTTATGCTCCTTGGTTTAGACGTGTCTTTTTCTCAACCTGTTGTTCCATAAACTGTGTCCAGCTGAATCAGCTTACACTAAGTTTCAACAGTAGTCAGCAACATGGTGGTGGGATGCCACATGGCACATAGTATAATTCTCTATACTACAAAGCTAGCATCTTATACAGTATAGTACTCAAATACCTGGAAATAATTTTTTTTTAAAAAAAAAAAAACCCGCCCATCTGACTGGGTTTCTATGTACAGTGGGTGGGATTCTGTAACACTGGTTTATGCATTAATTTCCACAGATTATTGGTTGTTGGTGTGCTTAAAAATTGCCTTCTCATTCACTAGCCACCTCACATACGCAAAGTGCATAAGTAATCCACAATTGTCATATATTATCAGAGTTGCCATTCATCTTTCAGCCATGGGGAGGGGAAGAAATAAAACAAGGAAAAGCTCGCATCAGTGAACTTAGCCTCATTAAGTCTGAGCACACATGACATGGCAATGCAAATGTCCTTGTAAAATTCACAGACCCCTGAGTTCACAGGAATGGCAGCAGCAGAGGAAAATTATTCCACATCCTGCGGAGAGGAAATTAAAGGTATCAGAGAAAAAAGAATTTGCTGCATGGTGCAAAATGCAAGTTTTTTGCCTCCTGATGCTGAACATCTGCCACATTTGTGTGTTGACTCACTCAGTTGAGTGAGAGAGTATAAGCATCTTCAGGCTGACATGAAGCCTATTCCAGACGCAAGCTGTCTATGCTGGCAGCTGTGGGAAGACCCACAGGAAGCAGGGACCCTGGAAGAAAGAGTGTGGGAGTATATCCTGTGAAGACAGATAACAAGTCATAACAGTACTATGGGAACTTCTTCAGCACCCGTATGAGAATGAAATTTCACAAGTCAAGGCCCTGGTTGTTTGTTCAAGGAGTGTGTGTGTGTTTCAATAGTCTGTTTTACATTTGACTGAATTAATGAAAATGTATTCTTTTTGTATTTTAAAAAAAATCCAAACTTTTTTTCTTTGCAGTTTTTCTTTTCTTTTATCAAGCAGAATTAAACTAGCCAACACCCTGGCTGAGATATTTGCCATGAAGCATAGAAAAAAGGCTCATCAATTTTAATATGTTACCTTCAAGACTGATAAATTCAGCAATGAGATTTCATTATTATTCACAGGGCAGATGAAACTTTGCATGAATGTTAGGGGTGTATACAGACCACAAAATTTGGTTTAGATCATGATCTAACACTTTGGGAAACAGCCCACCTTGATCTAAAGTGCTTTCATCATTTCTTCCAAGAGAATGAAGCTTGCTAAATTTTAAAAAGATAGCCACAGTGATTTTCCTGTAACAGCAGCTCATAAAATTTAGGGCCCACTTCATTTCCATACCCCTCACTCCATTTACTATTGGTAAATTTATAAAACAGCTATCGTGGTTTTTTCCTCTTTTTGACAGAAGTGGGTGGAATTTGCAGGGGAGAGAACTAAAAAGGATTACGTAACTTTCTAGGTAAAATTGTTCCCTTGGATTACAGTGTTGACCTGCCCGCCATAACAGATCTCTCCCTCCCCTTTCTGGTAATTGCAACAGTGGATGGCATGGATGGGGTGGCACTGCTCACCTGACCTGCAGTCACTTCTGTCACTGCTGCTTACTGGGACATAGAGGGGGAGGGGCAAGGGCAAGGTGGGAGTGAGGTCAGTGTAGATACACCGGTGGGAGCACCAAATTGGCTATTCCAGTGCATTTGCACCATGCCAACCTCACAGCTGCCTTGCCCCTTCCACTCTACCTCCTAGTAAGCTACAGTGACATAGTTGACCAGAGGTCAGGTGAGTGGCAACACCCCCCTACTGGATATTTGTTACCCTTTATCTCATCACTTGACTTAGGTGTTTGTCCTTATATGGCAAGCTTAGAGCCATTTAATTTTTCTTTGCTAGTTGCCTCTCTTCAACATTTTCTTATGTCAGAATCACCAAGTAACCAGAAATAATTTGACTTATGCTGCCTTGTACAGATGCTAATTTACTTCCAGCAAGCCCCAAGTCCTTATGATTCACCCTGCTTCAGCTCAAGATTCATCCATCACAAATTAACATCCCTGTGGTATATTAATTGGTATCATTCTTTAGCATTTCACAGTACAGTATATTCTTTTATTCAAACTCCATCTTACATTATAGTTTTGTGGCTGGATCTCCCAGTGCACTTTTCTTCTCCAAAAACTAGTCACACATGTCCATCTGCATCATGGACCTAAGACAAATCATTCTTCCCTGAGCTGCGCTTAAGTGCAGAAGGAAAAGCATGAAACCACAAAGCTGTGCTTGTATAGTTTCTCCTCTGTGAAATAGAGCAGATTAGAGGAACAATTTAAGTCACACACAATGATCCAAATCACACAAACACCACACACAACGTTTTAGAAGAAATTTCATGAGGCACTCCAATTGCAGAACTCCCAACCTAACATGTAGTGTGGCCTTTATTATCACTTCTTAATAAAACCTGATATATCACTCCTTCCTTGAACATCCTGAGCAGATGTGTTTTCCTTGGTGACAGCTTGTCCTTAGTGACAACTAAAAAATGTATCTGAAAGATTAATCAGTAGAACCTATTAAGACATCTACAAATAGCAGGTCAATAAAAG